AAAAAAAAAAAAAAAAAAAAAAAAAAAGAAAGAAAGAAAGAAACCAGTGGGATAATTTTGAAATTACAACCACTGTCGACTGTTGAGATTTGTTGCATTTGCATTCGATTTGCCCCAACTGTTAGTCGATGTGAAGGAATTTGTTGAAGTCCTCAATATATTACAATGAAACCCTGAACTTTTTGGAACATCTCAAAAACCCGCAGCATTCCGTTTGGATTTTTGTAATATTTAGAAAAATGTGGGATGTAAGTGAAAAAGAAATAAATAAAGTTGTTTGTAATAAACAGAGAAGTTGAGGGATTTAAATTTTCAACAGTACAGTGTTTTCGTAATTCCACCCACGGCAGGTGCAAAATGTAACAAGGGAAGAAATTGTATTTTTTAAAGTTGGATGGGGTTTTTTTGTAATTTGATCAAATCTCCAGGTAGTTTTCATGTCATCCCTATTTGGTTGGTTTTGCCTCTCAAAATAACATTTTTAAATTTACCATTTGCTATCTTCAGATTGTGGATTTAAAACCGTTTTGTTTATGCTATTTTTTGGTCTATGGTTAAGATCAAATCATATTAAGCAAGAAGCAACATAGTCTCCTTTTCGATTCAGTATCTTTATTTTTTGATTGAAAATGCAGGACAGATATGTAAATGAGGAATCCCGACATAATGATGATGGCCCTTTGATAATGAATGCATTTGAAATGATTACCCTTTCTCAGGGTTTAAATTTATCGGCCTTGTTTGACAGGAGACAGGTATGTTGATAGAACCTTGATATTGATAACTATGACATGAATCCATTATGGGAAATGACTCTTAATCCTTGCTAGACAAACTGTTTGAAAATAACCAGCCTCCGCACATCTACAAGTTGGAGTATGCATGCTGCTCTTGAGGCAATCCTTGGTGCACCCACATCATAATAAGACATGTTTCTTGTGGGAAAATGCATATAAGTCACAAATCTTGGAACTTATTATGTTGCAACATAGGATCAAACTACACTATAAAGCATCCACAGTAAATTGAAATCACCTTTTCATGTGCATCATTAGCAGCAGAATGTCCAAAAGCCGTCTCATTATGTACTTACATAACTTCATCTCCTCAAATATTGCTCTGCATCATCTTGATCTTTGATTACTGTTGCTAAATCACCCTTTCTGGTGTTGCTAAATTAAAATTGTGGTAGATGTTTTGTCTCTTGCTGTTCATTGTTTGAAGTTTGTATTCTGAATTTTGTATTTGTTTTATACATAGGATTATGTCAAACGACAGACTCGTTTTGTTTCTCGACAACCTGCAAAGCTTATACTTGCAGCAATTGAGGCTGCTGCAGAATCAATGGGTCTCAAGGTTCACACTCGTAACTACAAGGTTGACTTTCTCCCTCGAACTTTGTTGTGAAATGCTGTAACGAGTTTTTGGTGATTGTGTGCTGACTCATTAGAGATTTTAAGATAAATTTTATTTTCTAAGAACTCTCTCTCTCTCTCTCTCTCTCTCTCTCACTTTAATTTTTCGCTGTGATGGGTTGTCGATAAGAGAGCCTTCTTCATGGCAGTGAGTTTGATACGTTGCACATTGCTTGTTGCAGTTTAGATGTATCCTTATTTGGATTTTCACGAGAGACAGCCATATTAATCATGCATGACTATTGTAGAGATTACATGTTTATTAAATTATTTTGGCTCTTAACATGGCTAATGACTCTCAGACGAGATTGGAAGGTGTATCTGCTAATAGAGGCTGTCAATTTGCTGTTGTCCTGGAGGTTTGTTCTAATATATCAATCCTGATGTTGCTTTGCCATATCACATCACACTATAAGAATATTGTATTATATCATATTAAGTCCTTCCTTTGTCAAAGGTTTTTGAAGTTGCACCATCTCTCTTTATGGTGGATGTCCGAAAGGCAGCTGGAGATACCCTCGAATACCACAAGGTTTGCATATCTCTCTAATCTCAAATCTGCTCTCATACCATCATAACATGCAATTTTCTTTACATTTATTTCCCTGCAGTTCTACAAGAACTTCTGTTCCGTGATTAATCATATAATTTGGAAACCGAGCGAGCGTATGCCGAATCCTGTTTGATGGTATGAAAGAAATCTGTCAGCAAAGTCGAACACAAGGGAGATCACATAGTTCAAACTCTGCTGCTGGAAGTTCCTGTTTAATTAATTATTGGTGACGATGAAGATAAGAAAATAATGGAAAGATTGTTTTTATGTAATGTTCTTGTCGAGTTGTTTGCATGGGAAGAGGTAAGTGTTGTATGTATAAACGTTGTACACATGGTGTTCATCAACTGAAATGAAACACGAAATTGTAAATGATACATCTGCAAAAGTTTAAATGTTTAATGTATCACAAGTCTGTATATTCATTGACTTAACACTTAATAAAAAGATGGCATCTAACATGATTGAGGTCAAAAGTACTGGAATTGTAATGTGGGATTTGTCAAATTTTCTGCGCGACATCTGTTAATTTTGCCTTTACCTTCTACAGAATTTGCTACTTAGATTTACTGCATGTTCCATTCCACATGATAATTTTTTTGGTATCTTAAGGGGGACTAACATTAGTTACTTGATAATAGGGTGGCTTATTTATTTTTTTTTAAAAAAAAAAAATTAAGTAGACGAAAAAAAAAAAAAGTGTGGATAAAAATCAAACACACGTATTCTCGGAATACGTTTTACTAATTAAAATTAATTAGAAAAAACGTATTCCGAGAATACGTTTTTATTTTTTTTTTCTAAATAAAAAAAATAAACACAAAATTCCTTTAATAATCAAAAATAAATAAAAAACGTATTATAGAAATACGTTTTAAGAAAAACGTATTGTGGAAATACGTTTTTAAAAATTGAAAAACGTTTTTAAATATACGATTTGTATTTTTCTATTTTTAAATAAGTACGTTTTTAAACTGTCGGTAACCGTATTCTCGGAATACGTTTTTTGAATTAAATATATAAAAAAAAAATCTTCCATTTCATTTGCGCAGCAGAGAGCAAAAGAAAAGAAATAGAAGCGAAAACAATCGGAAAAAAAAAAACTCGATCCAATTCTCACCCCGGCGTGAACCGACAACAACGAGACGAGACTCCTTTCCGGTTAATTCATTCGCACGAGGTATATTAGCTTATCTTAACTTTTTACAATGTTTGGAGTTGTTTGGAGATTGAGAATTGTTATAATATGTTTGAATGTGTTAGTGTTTGAAGATTGTAAATTACTAATTAATTATCGATTTTGTATGTATGTTAAATTCGAGATTGTAATTTTGTGTGTAAATTATCAATTTTGTATTGTTTGGTTGTTGTTGGGGTTAGGGTTTTTGGAAATTAGAGCTTTCAATTTATCCGGATTATAGATAAATTTGATGTTATTGTTCGATAAGGGTATTAGGTTTTGGAGGATTATATGATTGGTAATATTTTTTTTTTTTTTCGTTGGAGTAATAAAATGTGTTTTAAATTTTAGACATTATTTTGTTGTAATTTGTAAAATATAATTTTTTTTTGTGCAACAGGTTATAAATAGCGTCTATCGGTCCCTACATTGTTAATGTGTACTGGAAAATTCCTAAGAGTGAGTTAGGAAATTTTTCGAATTATTTGGCTAGTCCGGATTGTTCATTTGTTATTAATGGAATAATATCATATGAACAATTGGTAGATATGATTTACGAAAATGGTGGATTTCGTGATAGTTGGACCATTTCGGATATTACTTTGATGATCAAACAACCGGATGGTTCGTTTATCCCCGCAAGACTGAATAATGATAGTCCTCTTTCGTGGATTTACTACTATCCTCCTATGTCCTTTGTGTTTTTGTATATTGTGTTGGAAGCAAACACACAGGTTACACATGTTGAGGATCATACGCCATCATATGGTTATGGGGGAATGTTTGGTTGTGAGGGTACGTGGAGTACGCATGCCGGTAATTTTGGTGAAGGGACGAGTAATTTCGACGAAGGGACGAGTTTTACCATGAGAGGACCGGACATTGAGGAAGAAATTGTTGGAGATGAAGATTTCAGTCCCGGTGAAGACGATTTAACTGATGAGACCTCGGAAACCGAATCGGACAGATCAATTAATGAGGAAAGCGAACAAGAATTCATTAAAGAACACCCCTTTCCAAATGAAGGCCTCCACGTATATCGTGAGATGGGTGAGTGGGACCCGTCGTGTGTAGACAGGGACGAGTATGCCTTGCCACTCTGGAATGGGCATGTCGAGACTATCCGTTTGCATACAGTTTTTCGTACCAAGGAAGAAGCTCAGACTGGTATTATCGCATGGAATGTTGAGAATCTTAGGGCGGTCCGGACAAAAGATTCCAACAAGAAGTCGTTCAAAGTTGTGTGCAGATCGTCAGAAGGTGTACCATGTATGTGGAAGGCTTGGGTGAGTCTTAATCCACGGGTGCACGACATGTGGGAAGTAACCGAATGGACCGACAGGCACACTTGCATGCAGGTGGTCGAGAGAAATGACCACAAGAATGTGACGGCCACCATGATCTCAAATCTTCTGTTGCCTAAGATTCAGAAGCAGGTGACCTACAGTGTGGAAATGGTCCAGGCCGACGTAAAAAGTGCCTGGAGCGTCGATGTGAGCTACAAGAAGGCGTGGCACGGGAGAAAAAAGCCATCGATCGTCTATATGGCACGTGGGAATCGAACTTCGCACAACTCACCCAGTAAGCAAAAATTAATTACCAATGAATTTACGTGTTTGTAACTTTATTTATTTATTTATGCGTACCTTTTTATAATTTTCAGGTTTTTTGCTGTCCTTCAAAGGGCGAATCCCGGCACAGTCGTGAGTGGGAATGACAGGATGGGGAAATGGCTCGTCGTTCTCGAGACAGAGAATTCAAATTTGTCTTCTGGGCGTTCGGGCCCGCCATTCGAACCTTCCATCTTTGCCCGCCGATTATTAGCATTGACGGCACGCACCTGCGAGGTTCGTACAAGGGGAATGTACTTGTTAATTGCAAATGTATTTTCTATTTTCTATCATACAATAGTGTCTGATAAAAAAAACATATGTCAAACTGAGCAGGTTCGTACAAGGGGAAACTGCTTGTTGCCATAGCACAGACCGCGAATAAGCGTCTGTTGCCAGTCGCGTATGCGATTGTGGACGAAGAAAGCACGGCTAGCTGGTCCTTTTTCCTAACACATCTGCGCAATCATGTCCTCTCCGA